CCAGAGGGAAGAAACTCACTCTTCATGGCCATGGAGGTGCTGATGGATGGGCTGTTGGAGAAAAGGGCAGTTCTATTTCTAGTGAATTGACACATGAGGCCACACTAACAGATCTAATCTACACACAAATTACAGCTGGGGTCAGTGCAATGTCCCCAGTGAAGCAGGCCACCCAGAAGTGTGGAGAAAGAAGAAAGTCAGTGGTCAACCGTGCTTCACATCTTCTCTCTGCCACTTCACATACATGGAGCTACCACTCACTCTAACCCTACCACTGCACACACGTCTCACCAGGGTTCAAGGACCACATCTTTCAATAGTGCATGTGTCACATCTGCCCAAAAGTTCTTACTGTCTTCACCTTCCCAAACTATGAACACTTTTTGCCATCTATGCTTCCTACTCATTTACTGGAAGCACATCACCTCTCTACAATTCACTTAACTGCTCTTGCTTCTACTTGCATTACAGTCAATCCATCCCTTTTCCCTATAGCAAGATAAACTGGCCCATTTCTAGGCTGAGGAGTCCAACACTAGTGAGAGACTAGCATGCATTTGGTTTCCCACTCCCTTCAAGGAAAAAATGCTTAATTTTCCTGGAGAAAAGCATGACCACTCAAGGGAGATGGTGAAAACTCAATGGGCAACCAACCCAGTAAGCTACATTGTGCTGTGCTGTGCTGCTCTCCCATTAACGAGAGGCTGACCCATTCTTAAACTGTACAAGCAATTATCCTTCTTAGACCATTAATTCTCTTAAACAGGTGCTAGCAGCACCTTGCAAACTTCCACCAACCTTCACAGCTCCTGAGACCCTGAGCTCCACATCCTTCTCTGAGGAAGAAGGCACTGTGTCCCCGTAGAATGCACTGGAAAGGCTTTCACCTGCATCATCCACCTGCTCAATGACCTTCACCTTAGTGAGCGTTTGTTTTGATTAGACGCAGGAGCACAATCTGGGGAACACATCGCTGCCGTATCTTTGCAGCCGATCAAGGAGGAAAAGCTCGGACACTGATCTGAATGTTTTTCATTGTCATTGTATTTTCCAATGTTTCTCACCATTACTCACCTACAGCAGGGAGACAAAATTTAATCCATGTAATCTGGAACTAGCTGCATCCCAAACCAGGTTGGTCCAGTATATCTACAAGACTGACATCTACTGAACTATATTGAAAATTGCCGAGGCATGTTCTGCCCACAGAAAGCAGGAAATATCCAATTAATCAATCATCATCCCAACAATCATCGGAAAATTTGAATGTGTTGCTGATAGTTCTATCAAGCAGCACTTAGCAATAACCTGCTCACTAATACCTATTTCAGGGTCATAGAATCATAGAATCCCTACAGTGTGGAAACAGGCCCTTCAGCACAACAAGTCTACACTGACACATCCCCCTGTAACCCCCATAATCTCCATGCCTCTGAACACTATGGGCAATTTAGTATGGCCAATCCTCCTAGCCTGCACATCTTTGGACTGTGGGAGGAAAGCAGAGCACCTGGAGGAAACCCACGCTGACAAGGGGAGAATGGGTAGAATTGAACCCGGGCCCCTGGCGCTGTGAGGCTGCAGTGCTAACCACTGAGCCACCCATTTAGGATTATTCAGCTCCAGACCTCATCATATCCTTGTTCCAAACATGATTAAAAGATCTGAATTTCAGATGTGAGGTGAGAGTGACTGTCCTTGAAATTAAGACTGCATTCAGCTAAATGTGGCATTAAGATTTGCAGCCAGGTGCAGAATAGGGTAACATACATACTGTTGCCAAGTTTGCAGAAGATACAAAAATATGTTAAAAAGCAAGTAATGAAGATGACACAGGTCTGTAGGGAGTATAAACTGGTTAAATGAATGGGCAAAAACATGATTGATGGAATATAATGTGAGTTTACTCAAGTTGCCAAGAAGAATGGAAGAGCTGAATATTATTTAAGTGGAGAAAGACTGCAGAAAGCTGCAACGCATTGGGATTTGGGGTTTCTAGTGTATGACTCATAAAAAGCTTGTGGAATTTATTTTGAAAATCCAAGTATATTACGTCTACTCATTCTTCTTTATCTATCTTGTTTGCTATCTCCTCAGAGAACTGTAGTGAATTTGTCAGTCATGATTTCCCCTTCATGAAAACATCCTGGCCCTGCTTAACTCTATTATCTACTTCTAAATGCTCAGCTATTGAATCCTTTATAACAGAGTTTAACATTTTGAGATAAACAGATTTCCAATCAGTAACGGTTATGGAGATAAGATAGCAAAGTGCAGCTGAAGATTATCAGATCAGCCACAATCTTATTGATGGGCCAAGTGGCCTTATGGTCTTACTTCAATATGTCAAAATAGGAAACTCCATAATTAACTATAAAGAAATATTTAACAGGACTTTTGTGACTTTCAAACAACAGCAACATGATGTTCCTGGTGTTATATGGCTGCTGGTTATAAAGAATGTCATTTTGTAGCTGCGTTTCTGACAGCTGCACAATCTTTCCTGCCCTTACTGCAGCAAAGAATGAGTTGGCCTCATCTATGAGAACATTACCAGTTGCTTCTCTGCAGATCTTTCAATCTATAGATCCAACTCTATAGTACCGATGGCAAGTTTCTGCACCATTCCTTCAAGGCAGGTGTTGACCCAAACCAAGTCCCTGGAAAATGATATTGAAGTTATAGTGTCATTGCCACCACAATTAAAAGGCATTAGGTGTCAGCCATGGCTTATTTAGTACTCATACCTCTACATCATGAGATTCAAATCCAGGATTTGAGTATGAAAATCAAAGCTGGTACTCCAGTGCCAAGTTGAAGGTACATTACTCTATTGGAAGTGCATCTTTCGGAGAAGAGATTAAACTGAGACCCTGTCTTGTCTCAGCTGGAGGTAAAAGGCCCAATTCTCCTCATTGTCTTGGCCAATATTTATCCCTCATCAAGATCATTAAAATAGATTATCTGATCATTAACACATTTCTACTTGTGATAGCTTTCTGTGTGCAAATTAGCTGCTACCTTTCCTACGTTACAACAGAGGACTATACTTCGAAAGTAATTCATTGGCTGTAAAGTGTTATGGAGGTCCCCATTTATATTCTAGAATTTATCCTTTTCCTGTTTCAGTTAAGACCATCCTTCCCAATGCAGTTTTCCATGAAATGCGCGTGAGAATTGATGCACAAAAAGCCACAGAACCCTTAATAGAAATCTCTAGTCCCATTTGCTCCTGCTTTACACCTAGAGAATTAATGCACATCCAGTTCTAGGAGCTTGAAAACTAGCCTGAAGTTATTTCTTCTACAAGTGGAAGTGACAATGCAAATCAAAATAAAGAAGCAATCAACAGCTGTAAACCAAATTGGAAAATGTAGACGGCACAACCAGTGTCAGAGCCTCAAGCATGTTTGGTAAAGAGATGGAGCAGTGAGTCTAATAAAGAACTAAGTTTCTGATGGATTATTTAACAGCAATTTTATCACACTTTACTAAATCGTATGTCAAGAGAAGTATGCTGTCAGCTGAATGTGAGTCCATAATGTCCAGCGTTCTTTCCACACATAAGGCTAGAAACTCAATTATATAGCACTGTTTTGAGCAAAATTACAGAGGCTCCTATCGCAGTTCACCAGGGAAGTGATACATGATAGGTGCATCCCATGCTTGCGCTGGTAGCTTTTGAGTTCAATCCTGATATCACATAACCAATCGGCTGAAGTCTCTCTGGGATTCCGGATTTTTTTGACAGCCCTGCGCACATATTCATTTGTCACTTTTCAAATATCCAGTGTGAGGTTGCAATGTGGGACCTATTCTTCATCAAAGACCAGGCACCCAAACTGGGGAAAGGTAACGTTTTCAGTGTTTTCTATTGTAGCATGTGTGAAGTAACCTGGAGTATTCCTGAGGGGTTTGTATTGTGCTCTTGGATTTGTTGCAGGGTCTTGCTGTACTGCATCCTCTCAGGGAGGGCAGAAGAGTAGGCAACCTGTCTACACAAAGGGTGCAAATAGCTAGGGGGCAGTAAATACGGACCCTCTGTGTCCACAGGATAATAGGGAAATGGAGCAGAGCTGCAGTGAGGACAAGCTTTATGTGACGCTGTCCATCAAGTTCTAATCTGACACACCATGTTGAAAGATGCTGTCCTGTCCCATCCAACTAAATACTCTTCCTGTCTCCAAACATACCACAAGAGAAACAAACAAAAAAGCCACCTTACATTACTTAATCAGGTCATTTAGGAAGCAGCATTTGCATTAACTTCACCAAACCATCTCTATGTATCTTTATCTTTTTGAAATAACGAGATTGAAAATGTGAGTTATTGAGCATTTCTCTGCTGATGATATGCTTCTTATGTATACTAATATACTAATATTATATATACTAATGCTGTGTCTGACTTGTCATACGCTCAAAGAGCCAATGTAATACAGCAGTGCCCTTCAATGCTAGCTGAGGGCAAATAGACGTTTCAGCAAAATGTTTCTCATTAAATGTCCAATTTAACTTGTGTCATTCTTTTCAGCAGCTATCCATTGAAATTCATCACCCGTTTGGGGTCAGTTGTTTGACTCTTTGGCCGAGGTTTCTGAATGGCTATCCAACAGCTACAATAAAGGAAATTACTACAAGTTCCAAATCAAAAATATGAATTAAATTGCCTCATCCCTATATTTCCTCAGTGTTATAATATTTTCTAATTTAATTAATCCAATCATTCATATTTTTAAATTGCCAAAAATAGCACATTCTGTAACATTTCAGAGCTGTATAAGTTTCTTCATTCAGCCTGATCATTTCACTTCTGAGAGCTGGAATGTGAGTTTCTTAATTAATGCGGGTGTGTTCATAGTTCTGAAAGGTTCACTTTAATTTCCTTCTAAAAATGTAGCTGAAGGTTGTTAAATGTAAAATTTCTCAACCAAACAGATGTTAAAAATGTGCTGAAGTAGGTTTTAAACTGATTAATTTTTTTTTGTCCTTCTTGTCAGCTTTTGCACACAAGAGAAACTGCCAATCACCTTCCAGTCTTGTGTAGTCCCAAAAGATTGTCTAATCTCAGAGTGGTCCGAATGGAGCCCATGCTCAAAGACTTGTTACAGTGCGACCTCTACGAAAGGATTCCGTACCAGAACTTCCAGTATTAAGCAATTTCCTGTTGGTGGTGGGAAAGAATGTCCATCTCTAGAAGAGAAAGAACCCTGTGCTCCTCAAGGTGAAGGTGTGCCACCTTGTGCTATGTAAGTCTGCTGTCCTTAAAACTTTAGTGCTCACATTACTTAGCTGAGAATTGATCAACTGATTACAAAACAGATATGATGTGGAATGTCAATGAAAGCAATATAGTACACACTTCAATTTTTGTGATATTTTATACCTATTAAGAAGAGAAAGGGTTAATAAATACAGCCATCCAGTGTTAGCATTAAGAAATTCTCAGTCAGCTATAACCGTAGCTGAAGTGTCAGACATTGACTAGTCCACTTCTGCAGCAATGTACCTTTATCCTATTCTCTGGAGTATCACTGTAACTTTTTTGTATCAGCCATTCGATTGGACTTTATAATTGCTAAGTTAAGGGCAGCATTTATCTAAAAAAAGTTAGATTGAAATTATTCAAACAAATTTAATCTAGGATCTTCTACATCCAAAAAAAGGGAGGCTTTCATTCTAATAGCTTAGCTTAATTCAAAACTAGGTGCAATGGCCATGTCTTATTACCTTACCGGCCTGGATTTTTGAAATAATAAGATTGAAAATGTGAGCTATTGAGCCTTTCAGGTCTAGATTGTTTGTTTTTTCTTTATTTTGCTTTTTACACATTTTGTACATTCTAGTTTTCCAAGATGATACATTAATAGAGGACAAACTTCCTTCTGAGCTTTTGTTAGTTTATTTCCAAACGTAACCAAAAGGAATTTGTCTGGAGATGACTTGGATTTCTTTTCCTCTTTGCCTATCGGGGAATACCAGATCACTTACTGAAGATTGTCATACTGATATAGTTAAGATCAGATGCTTAAATGCCCGGGAGTTGTGATCATGAATCCCCATCTGTGCTCATGTGCATCAGTACAGAATGCTGTATCCCTGATTGTTGCATTGTTTTTAATGCTATAGGCCTTATAGTTTCCTTCTACGTTAATTATAATTTGTGCCAGGGCAAGATTTACGTTGCACCAAGCCATACAGCTGAACGTTATTCATCCAAATTCCATCAATGTATAGATCAAATTTTAAATTTCTATTTCCAAAATCTGAAACATTTCAGCAGATCCAGTTGCATTTCACTCTTGCCTTGGCATTGATTCTAATTGCTAAGCTTCCATTTCTTTATTTGGACAGACAAATAACCACAGCACTTTTCTTGCGTCATTTACTAAGCTTCCATTTAGTTTGATATTTTCATCTATTGATGTCATGTGTTATTTCTATAACCTACTGGATCAATTCTGTCCATCATTGCAGAAGTGTGGAAACATTTAGTATCACAGAATAGTCTGAACAGTTTCCCATTCCTTTATTCAGCAGTAACCTGTTATCCTCTTTTTCTCATAGCTCATGATGTTCCACATCTATTTCAAATTAATACACTTATAGCCACAGGGAGCTAAATGTGGCCTAATGGTTCCCTCAAATTATACTCACAGGCTATTATCTTATCTTATAGGTGCATAGATAATAATCTACTGTTAGTTTTTATGAAAATGAAATGTTCAGTATTTAACAAACCAAGTTGAATGTTTAAGTGAATATTTATTATTTTCAATTAATATGTAGAAGCCTGCTGTAAAAAAAATGTTTTGCTTGATCTTAGTACTGCTATTGCCTAGTTTTGTGTGGGCAGGATTCCCTCCACTCTTCATTTATATTCGTGGCCTTGAGATAAAAAGGTGGAAATGCTGTTGTGCCTTATTGATAATGTATATAATGGGCAGAACCTTCTGAACCCATTTAGAGCTTTTAGAAGAGGGGACAGAGAAACTTAATTAGACAGTAGGCAAAGATCCAGTTTCCGATGGCAGGTAATGGTTTTCCAGAACCATTCAAGTGTGCCAGTTTTTTTAGCCTTGATGATGAGGATCATCTTTTGCATTCATTAGCATGTCATGAATTTTCATTCACACTCCAACCCACTGGAATTATGTTCACAAGCGCAATCTTGTTAGGTATAAATGGGAAACATGGGTTTACAAACCTGACTATGTAAATGCAGCAAGTACCTGACGGAGCAGATGGCAATCTCAAAGTTCTGTTCAGGATAAACTTCTTCAGTAAATTGCTTCCTTCATAACCAAGCTATTTCTTTGTATGAGCACTTACAATGCAAGTGGTAAAGCCTGATGCGGGCAACTAAGTCATGAGAAGTCGTGGCACGGTGGCTCAAAGGTTAACACTGCTGCCTCATAGCGCCTGCAACCTCGGTTCAATACCAGTCCCGGACGACTGTCTGTGTGGAGTTTGCACATTCTCCCTGTGTCTATGTAAACTTCTGCCGGGTGCTCCAGTTTCCTCCCATAGTCCAGAGATGTACAGGTTAGGTGGACTGGCCATGCTAAATTGCCCATAGTATTCAGGGATATGTAGGCTAGGTGATTTAGCCATGGTATATGTGGGGTTATAGAGATTGGATGGGATGCTCTTTGGAAAGTCAGTGCAGGATCGATGGGCCAAATGGTCTCTTTCCACAGTGCAGGGATTCTATGATAGAAGTCTTAGTCATATGTGGCCTTACTTGTTTTTCTTAAACACTCACATAATGATCCCCGTCCGAACTTAAAGGATGTGGTAGTCGGGACACTGGAAGGATCATGGGGAATGTAGGGAGGAAAGTACAAAGCAGAGGGGAGAATCACAGTGATGGGGCAAGGGGGGAGCTGCATGTTTAGGGTGGAAACAGAATGGGGTAATTAGGTGCACTGGGGAGAGAGAAAGAACAGGTGAATTGAGTAAGAGAAGTCGAAGGTGAAGGCTGTGCTTGGGGATCTGGAAGGGAATGGGATTAGGATGAAATGGCCAATATCACAAGGAGAGATTGAAGAAGGTTAGCAGAGATGCCAGAGGAAAGAAAAACGATTTCTACAGTGATGGGAGAGAAAATGTGGCATATAATCAAATAATCAAATAAAACTATTTACAACCAACATTGGATACTGCAAAGGCTACGGGCCCTGACAACATTATGGCAATAGTACAGGAGACTTTTGTTCCAGAATTTGCTGCTCCCCTAGCCGAGCTGTTCCAGTACTACCCAGCCTTGTGGAAAATTACCCAAGTATGTCCTGTACATGAAAAGTAGGACAAATCCAACGCCCATCAGTCTACTCTGGATCATTAGTAAAGTGATGGAAGGGGTCATTAACAGTATTATGAAGCAGCAGCTAGTCAGCAATAACCTGCTCAGTGATGCCCAGTTTGGGTTCCGCCAGGGCCACTCAGCTCCTAACCTTATTACAGCCTTGGTTCAAACATGGACCAAACAGCTGATTTCCAGAGGTGAGGTGAGAGTGACAGCCCTTTTCATCAAGGCTACATTCGACCGAGTGTGACATCAAGGAGCCCTGGCAAAACTGGAATCAATGGGTATCAGGGGGCAAACTCTCTGATGGTTGGAGTCATACTTGACGCATAGGAAAATGGTTGTGGTTGTTGGGAGGTCAGTGATCACAGCTCCAAGATATCTCTGCTGGAGTTCCTCAGGCTAGTATACTAGGCCCAACCATCTTCACCTGCTTCATCAATGACCTTCCCTTCATCATAATGTTAGAAATAGGGAAAGTTCGCTGATGATCGCACAATGTTCAGCACCATTTGTGACTCCTCAGTTACTGAAGCAGTCCATGTCCAAATGAAACAAGATTTGGACAATATCCAGGCTTGGGCTGACAAGTGGCAAAACAACATTTGTGCCACACAAATGCCAGGCTATGACCATCACCAATAAGAGACAATCTAACCACCATCCCTTGACATTCAATGGTGTTACCATCACTGAATCCCCCACTGTCAACATCCTGGGGGGTTATCATTGACCAGGAACTCAACTGGACTCACAACATAAACAGTGGCTACAAGAGCAGGTCAGAGGTTAGGAATACTGTAGCAAGCAACACACTGCCTAACTTGCCAAAGCCTGTCCACCGTCTCCAAGGCACAAGTCAGGAGTGTGATGGAATACTCCCCACTTGCCTGGATGCGTGCAGCCCTAACAGCTCTCAAGAAGCTTGACACCGTCCAGGAGAAAGCAGCCAATTGATTGGCACAACATCCACAAGCATCCACTCTCTCCACCACCGACACTCAGTAGCAGTATGTACTATCTATTAAATGCAGTGCAGAATTTACCAAAGATCCTCAGACAGCACTTTTCAAACCCATGACCACTTCCATTTAGAAGGACAAGAGCAGCAGATTTATGGGAACATCACCACCTGCAATTTTCCCTCCAAGCCACTCACCATCCTGACTTGGAAATATATTGCCATTCCTTCACTGTCGCTGGGTCAAAATCCTGGAATTCCCTCCCTAATGGCATTGTGGGCCAACCCACAGCAGGAGGACTGCAGCAGTTCAAGAAGGAAGTTCAACACCACCTTCTCAAGGACAACTAGGGATGGGCAATAAAACTGCTGGCCAGCCTGTGACACTCACATCCCACAAATGAATAAATATATAAAAAAACCTTCTCCTAAATTGGCTTGTGAAAGAAGGCACCGCAGCTAATTCAGAAAACAATGGGGAGGCCCAAGATCTGTTTGCATCAGTTTCAGCAGAGTTTAAACTCAACCAAACGAGGGAATTGAAACAGAAACTGTAAAGTATAATGGTGTAAACACAATGTTTAGCCTTGGTACTGAAAACTAAAGCACTCAATGCAGAGAAAAAAAGTGAAGAAGCTCGATTCGCTCTTAGCACCAACATCCAAATCATGGCTTGTGATTCATTTGAGACTGAAACGAAGGACACTTAAGACTCCATAACTAACAGGACCATTCACAGACACCCTGTTGATCTAAAAGATAATGATGTGAGGATCAAAATGTCAAGCAGGCTATAGATTCTAACGCTGCAGGGCTATTTCACAGGGATAATGAAGGTCACGGAGAGTCAGATTGCACTATTTGACAAATGCACAGAAAGCAATATAAGGGTCTAGGCTACAAAAATCTAGCATATGACAGACTGAGGGAAATGAAAACCAATCAGCGGTTATATGGATGCACATCACCAGATAGAGATC